TCCGCTATTGCTATTCTGATACATTATTTTATATCAAAAATAGCTTTTACAAACTGGAATCGAGATAAATTCAGAGATTATTTTCCAAGTTGATCATTAAAGAGAGAGAACTTTCCTCCCGGAATTAATCAAATTCAAGACCCAAAGAGAGACAAAAGAACAATTTGGGGGTTACGTAGCTTGAGGGGTGCGTGAACGTGAGAGAGAGAACGAGATCATAATATGTGAGTGGGAGAGAGACATACGTGGGAATACAGGGCATCAAATTTTCCTCCATAAACTATCGAGAATTCTGTGCGCAGACAGAGCTAACGTATCTCCGAATTTTTGTTGGAGTGATTTTTCCGGAATTGATCCGAAAAGGGGTGAGAAATCATAGCCTTGATATGGCACGGACACTCGTAACGCGGCGATGTCGGAGAGTGGCGTCGAACACCTAAGATTACGCCGGCCGGTCCGTAGTGACGAAGCAACTGGTGGCACAATGCCTTTGAGATATCGTACAGATTCTAATTCTATTCCCATCACTTCCTGAACTAACTAAAATGAAAAATAAAATACACAGCTTATGCCCTAATTATTGTACTCGATTTAAGACAGAGCATTTTCCGAAAATCGTAACGGTTTTACCTGAAATAATTAGGATAATTAGGAACTTTTCCATGCGTTATCCCTTATTTAAAATCATAATTTATCACTTCTGAAATACAGAGAGGGTTCTACTTTTGGGGAACAGTTAACGTAACTTTGGCTAATTGAGATAATATTCACAGAGCTTCTCGAGGGTTGGCGTAGGTTTTACAGGGCTTGGGGGTTTCAATTCGCGCACGTGATTTGTCGCAATTTTTTAATGAAATATTTTCACTCGCCATAAAGTAACGACACCAGTACTCAACATCGTAGTTAATGATCCCTCGTATCAGATGATGGGGCCCTCAGGATCATTAATTTTGATACACGTAGCTGTTTTTAATCCTTTTCCTCGCGGAGATGCTTTGTCGATGGGCAAATCGTGCCTGCTCGGATACGACTGATTTCCGGGACTGTAGCGTCGGAGTGGAAAGAAAGGGACGGCTAGTGAATTAGCGCGAGCATCGCCTCGAACTCCGTAGTCGGTAAGAGACGGCGCGCGAGAGATTAGAACGTCCTCAACGAAATAAAATGAGTAATTTTGAAGCCCTGGCAAGTCATACGCCATAAATAGGCTAATTCATCCGGCACGACTTTCCAACTGTACAAGACTAGAAGACATTTAAAAATCTCTCAAACAGGGGAGCTCGAGAATTTCACACATTTTTGTATTCTCCTGAAAAACAAATCAAAAAGGGATTGTCAAAGCTCGCGGGGTGACTCAGTGTCTCATCCCTGATCACCGGCGGTATATGGCCCTGTAATTTTATTTACGTAGCCCTTCTTAAAGGAAATGAAACCGAAAATGTGTAACTAAACCTGACTGTCATAGTATACTTCTCTGTTTGTCAACGATTTTTATGCGGAATATTTTTGCCTTTCACTGGTGGGAGTCGATGTAATGCAGATACACAGCTTTGAAAAACCCGAGCTTTGATTGCCGGTTCTCACAATGGAGAAATATAATTTCGCGATTGTCACCTCTCTCTCTCTCTCTCTCTCTCTCTCTCTCTCTCTCACTCCCC